CACACCAGCAGCCATATGGGAACGAACACAGGGGGAACTTCACCTAACAAAGTGGTCAGCCAGATATTAAATCCAGCCAGGAAGGCAGCTATGCACTCGATCCTATTGAGGAGGAGAAAAAAGGAATGGCTTGTCAGCGTGGGATCCAAAAAATTCTGAGTTAATGGTCCTATTGGGAGTGGGGGGGATTACCCATTCGTATGCTGACATGGAGCTGTCAGGAAAAAAAATTAAATTATTCAGATAGGGGTGCAGCTTCAGTATGTAATTCAAGCATATTGTAAAAGGAAAAAAAAACAATTCCAGACAAAAATGTGCTTACAGAGTACACTGTCACAGAGGCTGTTTGTGAAAATCATACTGTTCTTTAACACCAAATACAGCTTTAAGCAATCCAACAAACCTGTAATTTTAAAGGGTTTGTGTTTTTTTCCTGTCATATTTGAAGCTACGGTGTTTTTTTAACAATTGTTTTGACATTAGTACATGTCTCTCACGGCAGTGTCTGGCTTTCTATGCTTTTTTCCCATGCTTCACATGGCCAGAATTGACTAACAAGTATCTCCCCCATAGACATCAGTGGGATTAACCACTTTCTGTGGATCCTCGAAATTTCAAACTGGATCCCTGGGAAATTGAATTAGTGCAGATTCCCACATTACTACGGCTAAGGACAACAGTAATAATACTTCCCGCTGCTCTCTGCTGAAATGTTAAAACACCTTGTCAATGTCATCAATGGGCTCTTCTGGTTTCTCATTCACCTCAGTTGCCGACTTCTGTTGTTATGATTATTTTTATTATTATTATGAATAATAATATGTGCTTCAGCACATCAAAATTGGCAGGACTTTTTCTAGGCTTGCAGTGAATAATGTAATCAAACTGAGCTAATCTGGCAACCCATATCCACTTATTTAAATGTGCACAAAGAGGCCAGAGGATTATTGTCCACACAAAGCTGTACCTTACTTTCTGCCAACTGTTCCCTGAATTGCTCTGTAATTGGCAGCACTACAGCAAGCAGTTCCAACTTAAACAAACAACATTTGGTATAGTTTTTTAGCCCCCTACTGGCAAAAGTAGTCATATTTTCCACATTATCCAGTTTTGGGGTTAATATGGATCCAAATTTCTGCAGACTTCTATCTGTATATATTATATAAAATAAGACCAATAGTCTGCATAGTCATTCTAGAATCAACAATTCTGTTATAGAATCTTCCTTTCCCTTCCATTGCCCCTCAAGAGTTGATGAAACATTTCTGCTATTTTCTAGAAGTCTTTGCTGTTCTGCTTTCAGCGCCCTCAGGTTCCCAAAGGGCCTGACCTTGACAAACCTTATATAACATGGACCATTTCTCGGCTGTCTGCACCTATTTCGGGTCACTTGCAATTCCTTGGGCACTTACTACTGTATATGGCCGCATTACAATATATATGTCTTTGGCCATATATAAATGCTTGGCAGCTTGGATGCAAACTGAATGCAGACACTCTTTATCATAATAAGTAGGGATGCACCGATACCACTTTTTTAAGACCGAGTACGAGTACCGATACTTTTGATCAAGTACTCGCAGATACCAATTATTGATCCTTTATCTTAAAGGGATAAGTCCTATTTTTTCTAAAACAATACAAACTAATGCTTTAAGGTCACTTTCTTAATATTATGATTCATGCAATGATGAGGGAGCATGACGTCGGCTTCCCGGCCAATCAGAATGCCGGGTACGAGTACTCACCCAAATACTCGGTATCGGCACTGATACCGATACTAGTATCGGTATCGGTGCATCCCTTATAATAAGTTTAGATGCTAGAAATATTAATTGATGATTTATAAAACAATAATATCATCTAGGTATTATAAAATAGTTTCAAAATAAAATTCCCAAACATTTATATATTGGTTCTTTGAACATGCCTGGAGCATTAGCCTTGTTAAATGGCATTCTGTTAAATTTAAACTAAACCCAAGGGAATGACAATGATTAAATTTGGCTTATCTTCTTGTCTTACGGGAAACTGCCAATATCCACTGTTATAAAATTAGAAGCCTGTTAAACAACACAGGTTTTTTTTAAAAAAACTACTTGTCCAAGGGCTAAAGCAGGGGCCAAATCTACTTGTCTTTCATTACAATCTACTTGTCCCAATACAAAAAAATAGTTTCAATAAAAATTAGGGATGCACCAATACTGGTTTTTCGGTATCGAGTACGAGTAGCCGATACCGAATACCAATACCGGTGCTTCCGCTGGCATGGAGCAGGCTTCCCGGATAATCAGGAAGCTGGGCACAGGGCCGGCCTTAGGCCTTTAGGCACCCTGTGCGAGAAAGCTTTACAGCGCCCCTCAGTGGCCACACCCTTTAGTGACCACACACCCCGTAACCACACCCATTTCCCCCAATATCCGCACCATTTAAAGACTCCTATTTTGTTAAGCCGCAAAGAAACATATTAAAAAGTATGCTAAAAATAAAACCTAGACTACATGTAAATGAATGGATTACTATATGTCCGAATATACGAAAAATGTATTCAGGCACATAATAATTTGTTTGAGAATGTGCGGCCATGTTGGCCACCGGCGTGTTCTGTGAATGCGTGCCACCATCTTGGAGGTGGAGAGCATGACATCACATGACGCCATGCATGCGCGGCGTCAGGTGACTTCACACGCCGATATAGGTGACTTCACACCTAGATATACACCAAGATGGCGGCGCCCAACACGTGCGGTGTTATATGACGTCATGCACCCTGCCTCCAGAACACGCCAATGGCTGAATCCAAAATAGCATAAAAAAGTGTTTTGTTTGATGAAACAAATTAAAACTTTTTTTGTTTTCGTTCATTTCATCTGAAACTAATTTTTAGTCTTCGCACTTGTCTAATAATATGTGTGTGTGTGTGGGCGGGGAAGGTGGGGCGACAGGGGGGCAGTTTTTACTTTTTTAAAATAATGTTTTGCATTTTTTCCATTATTTGTTTATTTTTTTATTATTTATCTATTTTGTACTGTTGGGGGGGGGTTTGGGGAAATATTAGGGGTCAAAACAGATCCCTGACATTTCCCTTTTAAAATAGAAAAGAAATTGATGACACCAAATCCTCAATTTCTTTATCTGCAGCCTCAGCACTCAGTGAATGGGAAGCACTCAGTACAGAGGCTCCTCCCCATTCATTCACAAACTGATGATAGAGAAATATTTACTAGCAGGTTCTGAATGGGGAGGAGCCTCTGTAGTGACTGCTTCTCCCAATTGAGGAAATCTTGAATGAACAGGCTGTGATGTAAATCACAGCCTGTTCATTCATAACTGTGGACACATAGTACTATGTGTCCCCAGTTATTTACAAACACTGGAGTGATCAGTCGATCGCTCCAGTGTTTGTCCTTTGCACACGGAGGATCGGTAAGAATCAATGATATTTACCGATCCCCCGCTCTGCCACGCACAGAGCCGCTGTCATCCTGAAACTGACAGCATGACAGCGGCTCCGATCTCCTCCCCGCTCGGCCATCCTGACAGCTGCGGACACTTCTCTCCCCCTCACCGCTCCGCCATCCTGACAGCAGGCAGCGCTCCCTCCTGCGCCCCCCCCCTGAAGGGGGGGCGGACGAGGGAGCGCTGTCATATCGGATGGCCAGCGCCCAGCGGTAAGGGGAGAGAAGCCGCCCCAGGACGAGCTGTGTCGGCCGCACGGCGCCCTTGTTGCCATGGCGCCCTGTGCGGCCGCACAGCTCGCACACCCCTAAGGCCGGCCCTGGCTGAGCACCAGGTAATGACATGCCGTCTGGCTTCCTGATTGCCAGGGAAGCCAGCTCCATGTTGTTTGATCTGCTTGATTGAGATTGGCCAGGAAACCGGCTTCCCAGCCAATCAGCATCGAGCTGGCTTCCCGGCCAATCAGAAAGCGGGGCAGCGAGTAATGACCTGATTGACCGGGAAGCCGGCTTGATGCTGATTGGCCAGCTTTCCAGCCAATCAGCAGAGAGCCGGCTTCCCGGCCAATCCGGAAACCAGGAGGCGGGTCATTACTTGCCACACGTCTTCCTGATTGCACGGGAAGCTGGCTCCATGTTCCCCTACGGCACTGCCGGAAATTTTCCTCTGGCCGTAAGTCCCAGTATCGGGAAAGGTATCGGAGCATTTGGGTGAGTACAAGTACTCTCCCAAATACTCGGTATTGGCACTGATACTAGTATCGGTGCATCCCTAATCAAAACGTATTTGACTGTGCTAAATAGCGCTTTTCACTGGTCAGAACTGTTCTGTGTCGTGGTGCTGGCGCTGGGGGCGAGAGCGCACTATACAGAGGTGGGTGATGCCATCTACGGGAATCGGCGGGTCAGTCCGGGGGTGGGGGGATGTGCAGCTTTGCCCTAGGCAAGGCAGCAACGCCGCCCTCAGCGAATCTGCCGCTCTAGGCAAACGCCTTGTTTGCCTCGCGGCAGATACGCCCCTGGCCCTTCCTCCACCAAAATAGCCACCTCCAAACAGAGACACAGTGCAGAACAAGGCACAGTGAGTCAGTAATGGGAAAAGATCAACTGCAAGGAGACCACAGGCTATACCGGTGACTATTCTACTGTCCTTGACCAGACTTTTTTTGGGGTGCTGCTTCCAGCGTTCAGTTTCTCTTTAAGAAACACTGGTTTTATCACACACACAAAAGAGCTGTACTCTACTAGGCCAGCAGCCACTGTTTTTTTGTGCTATTCTCACCTTACCAAAACCATTATTATGTTCAGCTTGAGGCTAGATGCAGTAGTCAGGCTTACCTTCTGCTTAGAGTTGAAGTGAAGAATTCACTAGGACAGAGTTGAACTGCCACTTTTTACTTTACAGTGATGTTGTAGAAGATTTCTGGCTTTGGGTTTGGCTACTGAGAACCATTGCTGGAAAACCTTAAGGCGTAGCACATTTACCTGCATAGCATTGCACTTGATGGTGAAGATGAAGAATATGTGACGGTATTGACTTACATGGGAATCAGTGTAGGCTGCAGCTGCATCTCTTTGAAGAATTTTTCCAATGCTGTCAGACTCTTCATCTTCAGTTTTTGTATCATTGTTTTCACCTTTCTTCCTGGCCACAGTCTGAATTTCATCCACATTGTCCTTCATTTTTTCTTCGCCTTTTGTGATATTTTTATGAATAACCTGAAGCAATATAGTTAATTTATATAGTTAGTGTTGCCAATACTAACATTGTACAACAATGCTAATCATGTAAGCAGTGTAGAACCAAATCCTTCTTAGGATCAGTTAATACACATTTGTATTACAATGTTTTTCCACATTTATAAAGGAAATAATCTTATCAAACCACTTTATATTTCACTACTAATATTTTTTTACTTGTACCTCCAGTCTCCAGTTTGATGAATTAATTTTACTAACTTCACTGAAAATATGTCCAGATAGAATGTGCCCCGCACCACATTTTCAGGTTCTCCGGTTTTCAGGTCCATGAAAGTTGGAAATATATTCCTCAACAGGCCTTCCTCCCTGATAGAGGTTACTCAGATCAGACTCTGCAGTGGCCGCTTGGTGTGGGTCATCATACAGCTGGATACAACCCTATTTCCTTTTTCCAGGAGGCAAAAGGCCCAGGCTTGAGATTCGCCTTCGAGGTTAGAGATAATGAATCCTACCTGAGACCCCATTCACAGTGAGCGTTTTGTAGCGTGATTTCCGCTCAAAAATCGCTCAAACTTGAAGCTCAATGTAGCTCAGTGTAGCTCTTCCAATGCATTTCAATGGAGCTGGTCACATCTCACAGCTCAATGTCGCCTGTAGCCTGTAGCTCAAGCTTGTCACTTAAACATGACCTATTTTTCAGCGGATTTTGTGCGATTTGGTCCCAAACTTCAATGGTGTAGCTCAATGTCACACATTACCAGCAATATTGTCGCACTACGTCGTGCTACAGAAGTGTCACTTTTGCACAGAAATATATGCAGGAACATAAGCAGGAAACAGGAAGAGGAATTATGTCACATCAAGACCGCTTTTGATTGGATGCAGCACAATGGAGCAGCTACGAAGTCCATGCCAAAAGTAGCGCTACGTAGCACGACAATATGTGCACTGTAGCCCAATGTCTCTCAAAGTCGCTCAGCTCAAATCAATGCTGAAACACATTTTTTTATGTAGCTAAGTGCGAATGGGGTCTTAGTCTGTTTGTCGGTGAAGGTCTTGGATCGCAGGGGGAAGTAGAGTAAATTGGTACCTAAGAAAGCCCACAAGTGACTCCGGTCACCGGAAAAATTATCTGGTAAGGGTATCTTGGGCTCTGGTGTGACTGATGAGGAAAAAGCTGAAGCGGGTGATGGACCCGCAGAGGGCAAGGCAGAACAAGACAAGGACTCAAGGCGGCCCTCAAGATACAAATGACCTTGCTGAACCCCTTGCATAGATATTTTGAGCTCAACAATGTATTTGCACAATTGGTCAAGTGGAAAACGATTAGGATGACACTCCCCTGCAGGTGATGCAGACTCACCTGAGGCATGGGATCTAAGCACCAGAGAGAGTCGTCGGGCAGTCCAGGTTGGCAACTAGTATGCAGTAGACAAGACAGGCAATGAGGGAGGATACAAAGAGCGTAGTCTGGTCCTCGCAGGGAGCAAGGCAGGTGGCAAGCAGAGAGTGGTCAGGCAGTCTGGGCCAGTATAAAACATTATTATAGCTCTCAGCACAAAACAGGGTAGTTGGTTGGAAGACACAGCAAAGCCACTTTCAGAGCTGATGCCTAAATACCCCTCTGGATCAGAGGACATGTCCAGCATCTTTTCAGTGAGTTCTGGAAGTGTTTCCTTATATGATTTAATGTACACAAATTAAATTACAGAAGAGCCAAATCCTTCTTTACGTAAGAAAGCAAAAAATGAACCTAGAAAAAATGGTCCTTGTAAATCTGAAAGCTTACCTTTTCAAGTTTTTCAATGCGGCCAATCATTTTTGTAGTCACACTATGTAGTTTTAGTAGATCTAATCCATAGAAAGACCCTTCCAGCATTTCTATAATGCTTGATAGCTGAGGGATAGGAAAAAAATTCATTACAATTGTCACTCGTTGCTCTTAACTACCAAGATAAATGTCCGAGCTACAGTATTTAAAAAAACTATCTGAAAATTGTATTTTTTTTTTTAAATGGCTACTTTAAAATGACTACATTGCAACTTATCTCTGAGCTACTTCCATGGTGATTTCTACATTTACGCTTGTTATTAGTACAGTGAAAATAGGCAATAGTGTATGCAACATTACTTTTCATTGAAATTATATTTCAATTTATCTACACAAATAATACCATTGCTAAGTTTTATAACAATATATATTTTATAGCTGTAAATACAGATAATACATAACTTCACAGGTTCTTCTCATTTTACCTTATTCATTCAGTATATTATAACACAAAGGTGCTCTGGGGCAAAAGCTCTGACATAATATCCCTAATAGTGATGAGTGAATCTGCCTGCCTATTCACCAAACTTTACCGAACCCGAACATTGTGGTGAATCCTTTTGAAGTCTGTGTGTGTGTGTGTGTGGTGGGAAGGATGGGGGGCAATCTTTTCAGTAAATACTGGCTATTTTTAACCTGGGCAAACACAGTTATATTTCTTTAAAGGAGAACTATGGGGTTAAGGCTTTTCCCCATAGTTCTCCTTAGGGTAACGGGAGGACACAAACTAGCGTCCTCCCGTCACCCTAAGCTCAGTATACCGCGAGCTACAGCTCGCGGTATACTGAGACTCCGCAGCTGAAGCGGATCCCGACAATTATGTCTGGATCCGCCCAGCTGCGTGAGTGACAGTTGGCTCTGCCTATCTAGAGGCAGAGCCAGCTGTACCCGCCCCCTCCCCCGTCCGTTCCACCAGTCAGCGCTGGTGGATCGGAGCGGGGAGGGGGGAATCCAGCCCCTCTCCTGTCACGGCAGAGAAATGTGACAGGATCGTGAGGTGGGCGAACACCGGTATGTGTTCGCTCACTTCCCGATCTACTGAGCCGGACTGTGACAGTCTCATTGTCACAGGTCGGCTAGAACTATGAGGTGAGTGAAAAGCACTCACCTCATAGTTCTCCTTTAATTCAAACTGTGGGCTGAACGTAGACAATATAAACAGTATGGTTAGACGAATCTCTCCCTGTGTGTTTTGCATCCTGACAGTGCCTAGACATGTGCGATTCGTTTCGTTACGAATCGAAATTCGTACAAATTTTCCTGAAATTCGTAAGTTCGGTAGCATCCGAAATCCGAATTGCAGTTTCTGAATTATATCCGAAATACGAAATTCTGTTAACGAATTTCGTATCCGAATTTTTTTGAAATGGGAACTAATATTACCCCTGTAAATGAGGTTGAACAACATGACAAGATTTTTTTTTTAATACGAAATACGGATCCGCTGCTGCTGAGGGTTGCATTACAATACAGGCAGGAAATACGAAATTCCGTCAACGGAATTTCGTTCCGTTACGAACATTCGTTATGATGAAGTTAAAAAGCAAAAGAACTTTGTTAATATTGGAGTTGATGAGTTTGTTTTTTTTAATCCGAAATATGAAATTCAGATCCGAAATCCGTTAACGGAATTCGTATTTCGTTTGGTTGACCAATCAGTGGTTTTCTCTTCTTCTGCTGAGAGTTGCATTACAATACAGGCAGGAAATACGAAATTCCGTTAACGGATTTTCGTTCCGTTACGAACATTCGTTATATTGAAGTTAAAAAGCAAAATACCTTTGTTAATATATTGGAGTTGATGGTAGTTTTTTTTTATATTCGAAATACGAAATTCGGATCCGAAATCCGTTAACGGAATTTCGTATTTCGGATAAAAAAAAACAACTACCATCGACTCCAATATTAACAAAGGTATTTTTGCTTTTTGACTTCATCATAACGAATGTTCGTAAACTTACGAAAATGTGCCGAAACTAACGAAAATTTGTATTTCGTACGAATCCGAATTGAGTTTCGGACACAAATTACGAAATACAAAATAACGGATATTCCGAAACGAAACAAATTTTTTGACGGCGCACAAGTCTAACAGTGCCTGATTGGTTACTGTCACTGTTTGCCCCAAAATTTTACCTCTGGCTCCTTCAATTTTCTGATCGAAGGATGTCAGATGGAAGAGTGTCAATATAGCACTCTCATTAGTCAGCTTTAGGGCTAATAAGCAAACCACTTTAAAAAATAGGCATGTAAAGCTGGACACTGCTATGGGGGATGTGAAGCAATGGGGGGAAAAATACCCTACAGTGTGGAGTGGGCATTTCAAAGAGCTTCGAGGGCAAAATTGAATATACCCAGATCCTTTAAATACCATGGTTAAGGAATGCTTTATAGCTGTATGTGGTGTTACAAAATGGTACGATTTTCATGGACAGTCCCAGCAACACCGTACATTTGGCTGTGGAAATGATTTTTTTTCTTTTACAATTTTTCTTTTACAACAGCAGCACCCCAATCTGATTAATTTCAGTTTAAAAAAAAAAATATTTTCCAGGTAGCTTTAGTAGCAACATATGTTTTTTCATCAAACAGTAATAGGCCTGCTCTGACTGCCAGATAGAAATTGGCCAGTGGTTTTTTGCAGCTGTCCTTGTTTCTGCTGATGCAGCACTGTCCTGATGTTGGCAGGTTTCCATCAAACTCTTATTAAGAATTAAAGGGGAACTATGGGGTTAAGTCTTTTCCCCATAGTTCTCCTTAGGGTAACGGGAGGACACAAACTAGCGTCCTCCCGTCACCCTAGGCTCAGTATAGCGCGAGCTGTAGCTCGCGCTATACTGAGATGCCGCAGTATACTGCGAGCTGCTGCTCGCGGTATACAGTCACGCAGCTGAAGCGGATCCCGACAATTGTGCCGGGATCCGCCCAGCTGCGTGACTGACAGCTGGCTCTGCCTATCTAGAGGCAGAGCCAGCTGTACCCGCCCCCTCCCCCGTCCGATCCACCAGTCAGCGCTGGCGGATCGGAGTGGGGAATCCAGCCCCTCCACTGTCACGGCAGAGAGCCGTGACAGGATCGAGCGGTGAGCGAACGCCGGTATGTGTTCGCTCACTTCCCGATCTATTGAGCCGACCTGTGACAGTCTCATTGTCACAGGTCGGCTAGAACTATGAGGTGAGTGAAAAGCACTCACCTCATAGTTCTCCTTTAAGAGATGATGCATCCATGTAAAATTAGACAGCATCATTAGCCAGACATATTTAATGAAAGAGAATTGGCTAAAATGTACTAGGCCAAATTTACTAAAGCTAATGCAACCAACCCCAACACATTGATCATTGATAGACAAGCACATTTTATTCACTGTGCACACATAATGTAGGGACAGGCATGCACAGGCTTCAGATAATATTCAGGGAATTTATGAATAAATGTGGTTTGGTATGGAGCATATATCCAAACATACACTAGCTGGGTGGTGGTGTGATTAAAATAAAAATGTCAACTTCCATAATGTTTTTGGTCTATGTAATTGGTAAAATAAATAAGTGATGTTTTTTTTCCCGCTCAGACAGCACAGGATATTTTGTCATGCTGTTTTGTTTGGCACATATGCATTTCATTGCTTAGCAAGCTGGTAACATTTGTTTTTGTTTTTTATAGAATTTCATACACCCATTAATTTTTTGCATGTTATCAAAGAAAGAAAAGTGTCATAATCTGGATGGTCAACACACATTGAACAGCAATGTACCATTTGCTAGATTCAGGTATCGTGTTTGCTATACATGTATACGTGAACACTCAAGTAAGCTCACTGTGCAAATGAAGTGATTTATCCTAGCTATTATTCTATTTTTTTTTTTTGCTTTTTTAGTAAATCAGTTCAGTAATATCTGAGTTCTGAGATATTGGGCTTTATTCATAAAGATATGATAGCAATTAAGTGCTAAAGTGGCCTCTCAAGATAAATCATGGCCATAATGATGACTGTCTCAGAATCTGTATTATCTCAGAGCCTTGAGATATTCTGACTTCCTATCTAAAAGCTCTGAAAAATTACCTAAGAGCAAGTTCTATTTTGTAAACTCGCCCCAGGGATTTTGTGTAGAAATATGCATTTCAGGGAACATAATTTCTAATGCTGAAAATATGAGCCATATGGTGAAACTGTAATTCAAACTGTAAGGAGTAGCACAAGTATGTTTTAGTATGGAACAGCTACCTTGAAACCATTTTTCTCTGCTTCTTGTAACTTCCTTAGGCGAAAATCTCCCTCACAAGGATTTAAAGCAGACGGTGGTGCCACACATGCACACTTACAGTCTGGTCCAGAAGTTATAGTCTCCACAGTATAGTAATCTTCTGGCATTGTAGGACTGCCATTATTTCTTTGACATGAGTCTCTGTTCAGTGGCTTCACAACGCACTTGCACTTGCAGTTAGTTCCTTCTGATATGGCTTTAACCTTGTCATAATCACCCAACAGCTGTGAAAAAGAACAAGAACGATGACTGCCATTATATAATGCATGCCATTCATTACTGTAGTTAGACTTAATTTATCAATAAAACAAGGAGGAAGGAAAGAAAGTATATAAATGTTAATAAATAAAGGAGAAAGATGTAAGATAAAATCTAATTTATATGATCACTCCCAAAACTATTGTTTAAAGCTGTAAGTCTGGTTCTAACATTCCAAGAAGCAATGCACTATTCAACTGCTCATTGGCCAGAGTTCCGCTCTTAAACATAGGTTTGAAGTATGTGGAGCTATAGGACTTGACTGTTAGGCAACATAAATGGTTAAATTCTGCTTCAGTCTAATGATTCATTTACAATAACTTGTATATGAAAAGAATAATCTGTACATTATAATGGAAACATTTTATGTTGTGCACAAATTAGATGTCTAGGGAAATAATTACAACATATAATTTTTTATAAATCCTCTCTGTATAATATCATTACTATTCAGTAAGCATTTCTCCTCAAATTAGAGACCAAACTAAACATGTTTTCCTTTATTAAGGCACCATATCATTTTCTCCTTGGAGGTATAGCATTTTTGGATATTGTGCTGACTTAGGAAACAATCATTGGCTTCAATGGTTTTTAGAATACATTTGGATCTCTCTATTGTCTTCTCAAAATCTGGCAATGTTTATGAATTGGTTAACCACACACTGAGCTAAAGTGCAGGGTATTCCCAGTCTGCTAAAGGGAATAGGGATGCTGAAGTCAGCAATTTGGAAACATGTAAAACTGTGCTGCAATCCAGTGGTTTATATGAACTACTGAGGCTTCTGTTGGAATGCTGATTCCCATGCTCTACGAAGATGACAAGAATGAAGATCAATTTACAGGAAAATCTTTATTAACAGGGCCATACTGAGTAGGTATGTCATGAAATCACAAGGTTTTGATGAATTCCTGTGCAAAGTAAAAATTTTTTTTATTTTTCAGAATTGTGTCACAATTATTACAAGAAATTTCATCTGATACCCTTATAAGGGAATGGCAATTTGACATTTGGAGTGCTGACGTCACATCCCGTTACTCCATGCTAATGATGTGCTAATGACGATAAGAGTATGAGTTAAATAAATACTGAGCAAAACAAGCAAATATTGTTAAACCAAATATGATAAGTCCTTGTAAGGCAATATTCTTAGCTTATTCATAGACAAGAAGATCTTTGCTAGTGTGTTTTGGGACATAGGACTCTACCTAATCTAGCATCAAATATGTTGTCATATAAAGTGCATGCTTGCTAAGTAATGTGTAAATGTTACACTTATAGCTATTTATTAGTGCTTAAGGAGATTGCAGTGCTCATGAGGAAACTGCCCTCTTCCATTGTTGTCAGAAGGCCAGTGACACTTCTGATCATCATCCAGGGTCAGCATTTACATCTCAGACTAAGATACTAAGCAGAGATGGCACAGTCAGGCAAAACCAAATGTACAAAGTCTAATAAGAGAGACAAGCAATGTCTCAGTCCCTGTTAACACCTAGGTGTTTTGTCACTCAAAGCTTTGAGCAACAAAACGCTCAAGACAAAGGATTCCCATGCATTTCTATGGCCTCTGTTCACCCCAGAGCATTTTGTCGCAAGCAGAAAAATGCCTGTCACTGGAAAAAAGTACATTAATTACTTTTGGCAGCTTACAGCACGTTTTGTCCTATAGGCTTCAATGAAAAATGCCTGGAAAACATGTGAGACAAGCATTTTCATGCATTTTGCGTGTGTTTGTCACACAAAAGTCAACCCTCCTCCTCTCAAATTGCATAACAAATGCTTGAAAAAACAAACAAAATAAGTGCAACGAAAACGTGCGAGGAAATGCACAAAGGCACTGTTGCCTAGGTGTGAATTGAGTCTCAAAGTCCGAAGTCTTTTAATATTGGTATACGTTTACAACAAGACAACACAGAACAGCCCCCTTCTTTAGAGCTAAAAAATAGACCATAAAAGTGGTGGTAAATATAGGAGCTCCTACATTGGTTCAGTTCATGCTGGGGTACAACAATTCAAATATAAATATATAGATATAAAAATCATAACCAAATGCATTATGAAACAAAAAAATGCTTAAATGTAACTGATAATAATAATAACGGCTTATAGAAAAATAATGGAAACAGATCTTAATAGGAATAGATAAGATAAAATATGTTGGAAATTAAACATGATATTATCCGATTGGTTCCCAGTTATTATTGTTGACCAGTGTCAGTGGCAGCCAGGATGGAAAGACAGCAGCCGTACAAGAGTTAGACACAGTAGACACCAGAAAGTCACCAGCAGATAAGGGTGTAAATTAAGGGGGTTATTCTCTGAAGGGCCAAAGGATCCAGCCATAGCTGATCCTTTGGCTTGCTTCGTCCATCTCTGCCCTTCTGTTCAGTCGAACAGCTCACGGCCAGTTGTAATGACAGATCAGCGACCCCAAATGACCTGGGGAAGCTGATCTGTCATTAAACAATAACAACTGGGCAGAGCTGGCCATGACTTCACGGCCGGCTCCGCCTAGTTATTCATTGGACAGGACCTGCTGGAAGACTTCGCCCAATTGTTTTTCTTTTGCCGGCATCTGTCAGATGCTTCATTATGCGGCGAGAGTACGTTGCATGAGGTTGTGTCGCCATGCGGTGTTTTTTAAATAATTATATTTAATTTTTCATTCTTTTTCTTTTCTTTAAAATATTTGTATTTATTTTGTAATTTTCCTATTTTTTTACATTTTTAAATTGTTTTTCAACTTTTTTTTCCATTCTTTTCACTTATTTTCTATTCTGCTCGGTACTTTGGAGGTACCAAGCAGAATAGCCGAGCCGAATGCCGCTCTATCCACTCGCTGCCGTTCGGCCCCTGTGAGAATAGGGGCAAATGGCAGCGAGTGAGCTGCTGGAGCTTCGGCTCAGCTGATCCAGATGTTGGATCGGCTGAGTCGAACTTCTTCTGCACTTCAGCTCAGCCGAACATGCAGAGCATGTTTGGCTGACCGAAGGCAGCCGAAGGCAGCTGATGTACGAATGATTTTAGCCGATGTTCGGCTGATATCAGCCGTACAAGACTGAAGTGAATAGCCGAACAGCATTCGGCTCACTTCATTTCGGCTGGGTTATTTACTCGGCTGTCTTCGATAGCTTTGTGAATAACCCCCACAGTGACTGAAAAAAGATGGTGCAGGAATGATGCCCTCTCAGTTGGCTACAAAGTCTATAGTAGAAATGACCTGAAACGTAATACTATTTTTGACCAATTGTCAAAAGCCAATTGCAGAGCCTTTATCTCCAATTTTAAACACTCGCCCTGGTCGCTAATGTATGCCTGATGCCATGTAAAGAGTAGGAAAGGCAGAGGTGTCTTTGATGCAGGGGGATATGAATAATAGCATACCTTTATCTGCTCTGTGGTAAGCAAGATGGCAGTGCCAAGGGGAGAAAATAACTGGCTCTCGGGACAAACTTGAGCAAATTAATGATGCTTAATATTTTATAACTGACAGTGGCCTTTCCTGTTTAACCCTATATTACCCCTATTTAACCCTGCCTTCAAAGTTTACAGTAAATTCAACAATTCTAAGAAGATTGCATCACCAGAAAAAAACCTTCTTTTTTCTGAACTAAGGGCCCATTCTCTCTTACATGCTCTATGTAACACATGTCTGCAGGTGTGCATTATGTAGGGTCGGTATGATGTATTGTAACACTTTGCATGGTTTTACCTTGCTTTTTACCTTTATTGAATTGTCATAAAATGACAATTCATACAACTCTATGTATAGCAGTATGTTGAGATGCACTGTAGGACAACCTGTCCTTTTTTTTCAGCGCACACCAATTCAGCGCATCGGTGTGAACTAAGACAAATTGCCTTGTCTATAAACTGGGACAGTATTGGACAATGCTGCCCAATGCAGCTCAACAGGGCTGGTGAGAAGGAGTCCTAAACCATTATATAGTACTTGTCTCACTGTTAAAAGTAATAAGAAGGGTATTTCTTAATTAATAGGCCCAAAGTTGAACTGTAAAAAAGGCTTTGGAGCCTAACTGGTATAACAACTCAGAGAGTTACTAAATCTTGTAGACTAGGAAGGTGCACTGTTAAATAAAGACACTGAACCTAAAATGGATATATCAAAATGTGCTTTACACAAATACTGTAGCAGGTACATTCTCTAAGAGAACAGAATTACAATTAATAAAACCTTGTTTATGGTAAGGCAGAATAGGTTTTAATGCCTTTGGGCTCGGGGTACAGAAATTTGCTTTAAGCTTCGATTACACTTGCACTGTGATAACAAATAATAAATGTATTTTAGCATGTTAGCACAATGCATGCTAATGTTTGGGTATTTGTCCGTCCCAATGCACATACACAATAAGGAAACAAAACTATAACTGTGCTATGGCGCAGCACAACAGAAAGATGTGAATGTGCTGTAAATTGTGGTTTGTGCGTTCTAATAGTGCAGGAATGTGTAATCATATGCTGAAGCATGTTGAGAGCCCACTAAAATGAACAGGCTACTTTAACGCAATGAGCCTCCATTAGCAAAACATGTGTGTCTCTGTGTGTGTGTTAAAACAATGCAAAAGTGTAAATGGGTTAGTAATAAAGTAAAGGTCTCAAAATTCACAAGTATATAAACTAAAAGGTTGGTCTCACATCTGTGAATTGTGGTAACATGCAGTAAAATCCAAATTTTATCAGTTGTTACCAAATTGTACTGAAACATTAAGGTATCCCCATTGTGTTACTATTCTTTTTGAATGGAACCCCAAAGCATGTGTTGCAGCATAGCACAATACGTGGATGTGAAGCCAGCTTTAGAGTTTATATATTTGTACATTATTCACTAGCAATCTGTTTTTGAGTTTTTGCTAAACTGATCATGCCCATTAATCAAACAATGAGAAAAGATATGGAAACTGGGCCTAAAGTTGCTTGTACTTAAAGAGGAACTTTACCCATATCTTT